GCAGACTAATCTTGAAATTCACGTGCTCATTTTAGAGTCTTAACGGGATCGAATCGCTCGTTGGAGCATAATGGACTCTGATACCATGTTAAGAATTGGGGTTCCATCTTAAAAGGTCAACCTTATTAAGAGGAGTAGCTTAAGATCTTTATTAATTGGTCTGTGTCAACATCATTTATCGATGTGGGATATATATCCCTTAACATTATATCCCTACTAGAACTACAAGACAGTCTACAACCAAGCCTAACAATATAGTTTGGTCTGATTCTAGCTGTAAAAATAAAAACTTCGGTACCTTAATCTAAAGCCATATAATTCGGTTGAGTTCTCTTTCTTAAGATCCAATTCATCAGTTATCGAGTATTGAGTTAGAGAAAATTTCCAAATTCTTGATGTTTGACAAGACAGTATGCAGCATCATCTTGATGCAAAAAAAAAAACTATCTGATAGTAGAGACTAGAGATTACATACAAACTTCATGCTAATGTTATATTCTTCAAAACGAAATATAGAAGAAATACACGAACAAAAAACCTGTAAAATGCCAGGGTACAAGAAAAGGACACAACACTACCTCGGTATAACCAAGATAGTGGTGATACAGCCGCATCTTTAATCCACGAAAGTTTTTTCGCGTTATAGAAAAAATGTGCAATCGTCTGAACTAATTCATCTACTGTTCTAGTTTCCGCATATTGTGAAGAACTTATTTAGGAAAGGCGCTAACAAATGGGATGTATATATAACGATGAAGGATAGTCCTCACGTTTCTCCCTTTACAATATCCTGTTTCCATGTATGAACAAAATTTGCTGGTATTCTTTAATTTTGAGAGTGTAGGCCAAATCTCTTTCGATGTTTATATCTATCTTGACAGTCTAATCATGCAAATTAAATACATTGTATTATGACAAACAGATAGGAATCAAGAAGAAAAGGAAAAATCAACTTTAGATTCAAGAAGTGACAAATAAGGAGTTTCATTTACCCGAGGAGGCAGTCAATCCTTGGCTTCCCAGCACACCTTTGCCACTTTTTAGAGCTCTATCAAAGCTTCCCAGTTATCACTTGCCCTGAAATTTGTTACAAATTCAGATTACGTCTAGGCAATTTACCAAACACTAGATAGCATTCTGGATACAGATTATATGGTTTTGGATTCCTTCTATTCAAGAACTGTTACTTACCTTTTTTCTTTTTTTTTTTTTTCTGAAAACAAGAACAATTAGTGGACTAGGATGTCAAGCAAAGCTCTCCAAATCGAGAATATTGATTTCCTTCACCAAACCATCATCAATCTCACCCTCCCAGTCAATTTCAGTGCCATCTCCGCCAACGATATTTTTTATTAAATGTTACTCGAAATACTCTGACACTCGGATTCCCCACCCCAGCATCTAGAGGCCAATTCAGATTCTCCTCCTATACCAACATCTCTTTTCCTATTGGATTCTCGCCTCTCTCCCCCTCCCCCTCCCCCTCCCCCTCCCTGTCCCTGTCCCTGTCCTCATCATCACTGCTGCAATTCGAATCAACATCATTGTCATTGTCAAGTTTATCTTTCATTACTCTATCTTTCAGGACATCTGAATTCTGCTGCCAGATGGATTCAAAAGTTCGTTCAAGCGAATCATGCACAAAATCCTCAACTACAGATGCTTCAATCTGACGACGCTTGGGCTTGTTGGGGATCACAGTGGGGAACCTTCTCCTCATCTTGAGGAACTTCATTTTTCTTGAGCTGAGTTCTTCTTTTTGGCTTCAAACTAGGACTCTGGCTACAATTCTTGTCAGGTTTTGGCACAGTTCTTTGTGATGGAAACATTCACCAATCGTTTTCCTGTGTATTTGGATTTCACAGTCGATGGAAACAGAAAAGTTGAAAGGCAACAAGAATTTGTTGACAACATCGACAAAGAATGAACGCCAAAATTAATATTTAACGCCGAAAGGAACAAACTTCCTCAGCAACCTTCTGCAGTAAACTCACTGCTCAATACAAACAAACAGAACCTGTTGAAGTCCCTTCTTTCCTCCGTCCAAGAGGCTGTATAAAGACATGGAAACACGTGAATCATTGAAATTGGAGCGATTATATGAATACTTTTCACTAATCAGAGACACGAACGAAATTATAGCAATTATACATAACATGAAGCAAAAATCTCATTACGCCATACATAATCAGTAATTTGAGGGAAAAAAAATTAATGGAACCCAGTTAGTATGTTACTAGATTCGAGATTTACGATTAAACGTGGACGAAAAGTAAACAGACGTTGAGTAGACAAAAAATCAAACACCTGGCATGCAATTAACGACGGAATCATAAATGATCCATCCTAACATGGCAAATCAAGATCATCAAAAGTTTTCTTTGCATGCATACGTGTGTCTGTACATGCGATTTACCCACAAAGATATATATACAGAGAGAGAAGACTAAAAAAATGAGAAATTTACATTTAGAAATGGGCTTTAAAAAAAAATACCAAAAAAAGGCTCTATAGTTCCACAAAAATTTACTTTTAGATAAGAATTATTTTTATTTTATAAAACGCTTAAATTACCAAAATAGGGGCTTTCTAAAAAATACCAAAAAAGGCACTACTTCCCCAAATA